ATTAAGGGTGTAGGGTTCTGTTATAGAGGTAGCACCTTTTATCGGAACGACCACATCGAGGTCATAGACGAGAGATGGTTCTTGATAACTGGTCCTCATAAGACACCAACTCTTACTTAGCTCCACGTGCCACACCCGGGCAACTGCATGGTCTGCAGGCAAACTAGTGAGGTACCAGATATGGCGAAAATTTCACCGACCGATTGCCGGATAAGCAATCCCCACTTGCTAATCAACGGCTCTGGGCGGAAGAATTGGTAGGTGGTAGGGCACTCTTATGTCCCGAGGTTGAGAAATCGATCTCGAAGGTGGAGGAACCAATATATTGGACAACGGCATAAGAATGTAGAAGGTAAGGGGAAACCACTACATTAAAGATCCAAACGGATATTCCTAGTAAAATCATCATGGTTTTAGAAACTAATAACGGCGTTACTGATCATGGCCCTCGGAAGCCAAGATCCGGCAGGGGAGAAGAAGACAAGGACTCTCAGGTCGTTAATCAGCGAATTGCTTGTCAAAAGAACGTAGATGAAAAAAATAAAACTGTCCAACGCTAGAATAGGAACCTGGAATGTTCAGAGCATGTTTCAGTCTGGTAAAATGCACAATGTTATTCAAGAAATGAACAGGCTGAATATCGATGTACTGGTATTCGGGTTCGGTATTCCCAAATACTATGTCTTCAGTATACCAATGTATAGAGCCGAAACAAGGATATGGATACATACAGCTGTAAAAAGCATTTGAATTTTTCACTAGCCGGCGTATTTTGAGAATTTTCTGAACGAAAAAGCGTAAACAGAAGTACTAAACCAAGTAAAGGAGCAAGTAAAAATCATATACATATATCATCAAAAAAGAAAAATTATAATACTTCGAGCATATACTAGGTCAAATAAAATACCAAGTACTTCAGCTTATTATACAGGGTAGGATGGATGGTAACAAGAGCCCAGATCGTTCTAGAACTTATTGGCTGAAGAACTTATTAATTAAACTATTAAACACTGTTCCAAATATATACTTAGTAGAGTCGGCAATAAAATAATATAATTATTTCTAGCCGAAATTGGTCGCTTTTGTGTGATCAATGCTTTCGATTACTCAGAAGTCTTCATGCGCTTGCGACAAGAGGCCACTCTTCAACGCTTAACGTAGAATATACTATTGCCACAGAATAATAAACAATCAGAATGCCCACTCTCAGGTACCGCCTTTGAAGTTTTTCGGTACGCGATCGCCATTTCTTAGAAGGAAACACAGAACACAGACTCGGATTGAGAATCACATTTGGTGTAAAGGGTCTTTATCGACATATGATTTATGAGGTTATGTAATTGTTTATATTTATGTTTATTTATATTATATTTAATATATTATATTTATATTTATGGTATTATATTTAATAATGTTAAAATAACTGCATAGTATGTCCATTATTGCCGTAAGTCAATTAAACCGGGTTAATTTTTATATGAACACCACATATATTTTCACTGAACAACACTGGTTCCCTCTAAAACATGGGGAACGTCTGCGCGAACGAGATGTGCGTACATAATTTTCCATGGAAAGTGGGCATTCTGATTATTTATTATTCTGTGCTATTGTAATCAATTGCTACTAAAGAGCATAGAATACGCGGTTTGTTCGTTTGATCAAAGACGTGGAAATAACAAAAAAAAATCAAGTAACAACTTTAATATGACGTATTGATAATTTAACATTAAATACTGAAAAGAACACTTATAAAAAATTATACAAGAATTAATGTGACTACGGTCACGTATAACACAAAACTAATTTTAAATTTCACAGGTATAACAGATACATAGATATATTAATTATCTTAATTCTAATCTAATTTAAACAATTTTATGGTGTATAATAAATATCGCAGTACGTTTGGAATTATATTAATATAACAAGTGGAGTTAAAACGGCAGGTATGGAAAAAATTTATTACCTTCATAAACATTAACAAAAAATCGCAAGCTTAATAGTTATTTTTAAGTATTTTTCAATACCTTATACAATAAAAACATTATTGTCATGTTTTTCAAATCGTAAATTTTCACCATTTCGAATTCATAACATTTCGAGAAGTATATATTTCAAAATACGGAATATGGTGACACTATGTCACCTACTGCGAAATTATATCTGTCAACTTTGGGACAGTCTAAAATTGATATACTGAAGTGCTGCTTTTATTTTTATTTAACACTTTTTTATCTAAAGTTTCGGTTCTGCTACTTTCTACTTTCTGAGAATAATTGTATATCAAAAAATATCCTTACAGGAATACAGGAATATTGCATAGCCAATAAAGCTCCAAAGGAAATCAATTGAGATAATGGCGTGCTGAGAGGATCCAACAAAATAAAAGAATAGATGCCTTTGAAATGTATATATATATATAGATATATATATATATATATATATATATATATATAAACGAATGCTGAGAATTCCGTAGATACAAAAAGTTACTAATGATGGTATAAATCCAGTTGGAATTAATTCAGATTATAAAAATGTCTCAAGGATTTAGGGTAGACTCATGATAAAGTTGACTTCTGTCAAAAACAATGAAGGTAGTGTATTATGGAAAGTTAAAGAATGAATGTTCAAATAAAGAAAGAATTTTTTATTCTTCTGGAGGAAGAGAGCTTTACATATTATATTTCGTTTTGAGAGATCAGTTTTTACAGTAGATAGAGTTCTTGATATTTTTTATAACTCATTCTGAAGTATTGATCAAATTTGTCTTGATGATCGATTAAATCAGGAAATAAAGTAGCAAATTGAATTTCTCTGTTTCGTATTTTACACATTTCATGCATCTATTTATTACGCTTCCATTTTGTAAATTTAAGTTGTTTTTCCTCTTCCTCCCACAATAAAACAACAATGAAATATGTAAATCTCTGACTAATCTGACGTGATTTTGTCGGTAAATGCGCGTTACAGCATAAAATTCCAGGCAGTCGTGGGGCGTTCCGTTGCCGGTCGGTTCGGTGAAGTGCGCGCGTACCTTCACTTAAATGTTTTGATTTAATTCGAAAAAATTGAATGATGACGCACATGCAACGAAACAAAGAACAGATATTATTAAACCCTCATTGTATTTCGGCACCTGGCTTTTCTAATATATAGTTATATTAGAAAGAAAAATAGAATATTGGAAGCTTATAACGTAAGGAGAGAAATGATATGGCTTATAAATATGATAGGGTCCGATAAGTACTTAGCCTCGCCGCCCGATGGCGCCACTATCGCAAAAGAAATTTAATATGTGTGGTACATTCCCGTAGACGGCTTATGTCAAAATTTCAGCTGAACCGGACTCAGAGTTTTATTTTGACCGCGTGTGGAACCGGGCGTGAGGATTCAACGTTGTTGCACGTCGGTTTTTAATGAGCCACGCCCAGGTGGTCTAAAAACAGCTACCACGGAGGATAATGTGACAAAAATCCACGATCTCGTATTGGCAGGCCGCCGATTGAAGGTGATTGAAGAAGAAGCGAAACGGTGAGACTACTTCAGAGCAGTGTTTGATGCTGTTTAGGCGCAATTCGAAGGAGCTTCTGCGTCGTTTTCTTGACCGCTGATGAAATATAAATCCAGTGGTTCACACCACAACCAAGGAACAGTCCACTCAGCAAACGTGCTCGGAAAGGCAATACTGTCCTAACGACCGGAAAGGTGACCACCGTTTCTTGGGATTCGCGAGGTGTGATTTACATCGACTACCTGCAGGACTACTTTGCAGACCTCGAGAAAACGTATTTTTTTGGACGGGTTAAAGAAGTTGGAGCATCGCTGGGACAAGTGTATCGAGCTAAAAGGAAACTATGTTGAGAAATAAATTACCTTTTTTCTAAAATTTTCGTTTTTCTTTTATAAACTAAGTACTTATCGGGCAGACCTCATATATAATTATTGCTTGCGAACTACGAAAAAATTGGGTCAGGTACACTTCCGTCATATAAAACTGGTACACTTTTTTTTCCCAATGTAAACCTGTGTTCAAAATCAATTCGTTGTTGCCATTACAGATAACGGAATTGCACTAAATCTAAATAAAAAAATAACGTTCAAAAATGTATAAAATTTTTAGATAGGTATTATTTTTATCATTACCAAAAAAACTGAATCTAAGAAATTAAATAAGCAGAGATAGGGTTGAGTTATTATCCACAGGAACATTGGAATGCATCTACTGTAATTTTATACTTCAATTACCTACCGAACTCGAACTGTATTCGGTGTTAATAAGTTTTGTAACAGGCAAACTACCAAGATTAATTTATTATTTATTAAAAGAACGATAAAAAATGTGAAAAAGTAACATTATACTTATCTACGTAATTATATATGCGAAAAAACGCTTATCAGAACGTCACAATTACAATCCGATATGCTACAAGAATGTATTAGTCATAATAATTTGAAAGTTTGTCCTAGATTGATTATCTGTCATAGTTTTTAATTGAAATATTTCATAAATTGTATAACGCAATCAATGTATGGGTACTTAATTGAGATGATGGAAATAGCCAAAATTAATATGAGAATTCCTTGATGCATGTTTAGATACGAAATTTAATGTGCAATGATTGATCGATTAAGCCTTGTGCTACGATAGCTTGCCTTAATTAGCTAGGTTTATATATTTTCGTTGAACTGGCAACGGTGCCCTAGAAATCAGAATGACACATGTGCCAAGATCAACGTACACAACTTAAAAACACGATTTTTTTATTATAAGAGTTGTACCAGTGTTTTATGACGGGAACGGTACAATACTTTAATAATTGACTGCCCCGCCCCTTATATAAAGTAAGCTTGTAAATATTTTGATTTTTATCCTAAAAATATTATCAATAATTAATAAAAAGTATAAATTGTCTTTTCTTTTATGACTTCAGTAACTACCAATGAATTAAAGGTATAACTAACTTTTTAAGGGAAGTTAGCAAAATCGAATAAGTGCGAAATTTTTCAAAACAAAAAATACCTATATTGATTGTTATTTTAAAAAGTGCATATTCTCGTTATATTTGCACTCACAACATATAAAAATCGAAAATGTATTTTATAAACATTTTCTTGCGCTTCACTTATCCTAATAACTAAAATTTTTAATCCATATCTGCATTGTAGTTTCTAAAAATAGTAACATACATACGACACGACGAGAGAAGCATATGATTATGTAAAATATCATTAAAGACTTTAAAAGCAGAGATGTAAAAATAAGTTCACTAAGTGAGTACTTCCAAATATGCTTTTGGTACCAGTCCTTGGTTGTTCTTGTTATTTCTACCCATGTAGTAATCTGGATTCTGTATGTCTCTCACTTGTATCACCTAAAAAACAAAATAAATTAATAATATAATAAAATACACAATATTCATAAAGATAACGGCATTGTTTTGTTGACCATAGGAATTAAGATTTATTGCAATCCCATCTCTAGAGTATATTTATTTTAATGCTCTAAAACTAATTTTTTAGCCTTAATAGCAATACAAATTAATAACTAAGTAAATAAGTAATATGCTTTATTGTTACTGAAAATTGTATAAATCAAATGTTTATGGACAAAGCTTATAACAAGACAAGAAAGAATACAAAATCAGAATAAGAATCATTCGTACTTTTAAATAAAAAAAAAACAATAAAATTCTTTCAAACTTAAACATAAAAAATACTACCTGATTAAGAGCCTACAAACTTAATAGAAATAAAAATTAGGAAAGCAGATTAATGAATTAAGGATTCAAATATTCCAGTTCCTTGTGCCAAACAGTAACCAAAGCTGTCATACAGATTTCTCCTCATATTTTGGGAGTAGGGCTGGTGTAAGGCTTGCAAAGAAATGAAGTATTTTTGCCCTTAATTCGACTAGGTTTGTGGTCCTTTCAAACTGACGCCTATAAATGTTTTCTTTGAGAAAACCCTTAAAAAGGAAATCGTTAGGCGCTAAGTCACAGGATCTAGCGGGTCATTTAATTCTACCACGATTGATTGAGGAAGTCAATAGTTGCTCTAGAGTTGTTAGCCGAACATCCATCCTGTTGGAAATAAACCTCCTGATAATTAACGAGAAGGCGTCGAACTGCCGGAATGATCTCATTCTGTAAAAGTTGTAAATATTTGGGCCCGTTTAGGTTTCCATAGATAAAAGATGGACCGACAATATGGTCGCCTAACATACCACTCCAAACATTCAACTTTTGCGGATGCTGCGTTCGCACTGCAACACTGAGGTGCATATTTTTCGGAGAATAATACCTTGCAACGGATGGATTGTGTTTTTATGTAATGAAAATAAAGATTCGTCAGAAAATAAAATATTTTGTTTTAAAGAGTACATTTTTATTCTGTTTATCTAACATAAATTCGCAAAACTCCATCCGCCTAAAGTTATCTTCCCGAAACAGTTATTGTGTAGATTGTATCTTAAAACAGTGATACCCAATCCTTTTGAGAACTCGCTGGACAGTTCTAGCATTCACGTTAACTTTCCTAGCAATTTGTACACTATTGCAGAGTTCACTAGCTTCCACAAAAGCACAAATATCAATGTCCTTGTTTTGACGCTCCTCATCGACATTTCTAACACGTGGTTCATTACCTTCATGACACTTTTTTACAACTGTTTACACATTCCGAACTTTGAAAATGTTTAATGGTATTTTTAACTGTTGTAACACTTGGTGGGGGTCTATTTTCGAAGGTAATAATAAATAAATCAATTACTTCGCGTATCGAATGATCCTGAAAGTACCATGTTACAAGTTGCACTTTTTCTTGGACGGTATAAAACGTAATAGGCATTTTATTATTAATTTGTTTATTCTTTCAGAACTTCGTTTGAAATTTGGTCATTGAAATGTCAATGTGACAATTACGACAACTCGTACCTACTGTGAAATGAATATAGAGGTGAAAACGTGTAACATGTAACGTATAACGTGTATGGTCAATAAAACAATGTTGTGATCTATATTAGTATAATATATGATTGATTGATTTATTTATTTATTTAACTACTTTACAGATAAAATATAGACTAGTATAGAATATAGGTATCGCCAACTCGGATGGCCCTACTTTGAATATTATTTCAAGAGAACAGAAAACAAAATTTGAAGCTATTCGGAAACCACGCCTTAGTATTAAATAATTTCTTTAATAAGATTTGCAAACGATACCGCAATCATGGCAAAAAACATAGAAGATTTAGAAATTCTTATAGAAATCATTAACAGAGAAAGCAAAAAGATGGGAGTAACAATGAATATAGATAAAACCAACATTGGGGGATAAACCGTTAGAGAGGGTCGACAAGTATAAATACCTCGGAGCAATTATAGACTTACAGTTAGATCAAGATGACGAGATAAAAATCAGAATTGAAATAGCTCGAAAAGGATTTATAAAATTCAAGTCAAGAGGAGAAGAAGATGTCAGGTCACAAACCTATGAAAGATACCAATTCCAAACCAAAGAAAGTACCATTCAGAAAATCCCAAAGCCTTCAAGTCACATAAGATTTAAAAAAAGCTGCCAGTTATGTGGAGGAAAACTCCTAAGGCGTGGGTCACCAGGAAATTCTTTGGGGGGTGGATAAACTTGGTGTTTGCCCCTTTTGTTAAAAAACATCTACAGAAAAACAACCTACCCATGCAAATCCTTCTTGTCCTCGATAATGCCACTTCTCACCCACCAAATCTCGAAGATGATTTACTCCAAGAGTTCAAGTTTATAAAGATTCTCTACCTAGCGGAGGATATAATGAATACTTATATTAAGATAAGTTTATAACGAATCTTAAGATATATTAAGAAAAAAACAAACAAAGCGAGTATCAAAAAGGCACTACACAGTATCTTCATTATTAATGAACGTATAGATATCATAGAGCACTATGGATAAATCCAGTTATTCGGATTATCTATAAAATTTAGACAATGGACAGGTCGAACGGTCGAGGAACTGTTTCATTTAGCTGCCGACCGAGAATCATTTCATCAGCTTGTCAATATGATGATAGCCAACGCTTTAATACAAGCACGGCACGGCAAAGAAGAAGAAGATAAAACTTAGAAAGTATTAGAAAGGCTTTGGGAAGGAAATTTTAAATTGAACTCGAGTAAATGTGAATTCCTAAAGAAAGAACTACTATCCCCTTGTTTTTCTCGATGACTTGTCTCATGATAAATATATTGTTACGAACGTGGCTCGCCTAACGGTCGCATCTCGAAGAACCCAGAAGTTTCGGCGACATATCAAAGCGCTGTAAAATTCCACCCGTCAAATAATCAATTAGAGGTGGGAACTAGTCCCGAATATTCTCGAACATAATACTTTGGTATATATATGTAACGGAATTAGGAGTTAAGTTTAGTTGATAAGAGAGTACCGAACTGTAAAGTTATAAATAAATATATTTATATAAATTCGAACCGCTCGTTTTATTTAATCACGTTACAGTTGGTGTCACCGTGTGAGGACAATTGATTTATTTAAAAATAAATTTAACAGTGAAAAAAAGAGACTTTTGAACTTTTGAAAAGTATTGTTCGTCGGGAACATCCGCGAAGTTCGGTAGTGATCGTTGTACGAAAGAACATTTTAAAAGTACGTGTGTGCCTGATCAAAGATGCTGCTAGTAGAACTTTCAGTGAAACAGTTGCGTGAGCAACTAGAAGAACGCGATGAAGACTGCAGCGGGTCCAAGAAGATCCTACAAGAACGACTGAAGACTGTTCTCAACAAGAATGGAGACGACCCAGAGACATTCCAGTTCCAGTCAGCAGAAGAAGCAGTTTTAACAAAAATAATTGATGGAAAGTTTGAGAATGTCTCACAAATGATCGAAGAGAGTTCTAAACAAAATGATAGTAAATTTGAAAATGTGTCGCAAATGATAATTGAACAAACTTCTAAAAAAATTGAAGAATCTTCTAAAAAAACTGATGATAAATTCGAGAACGATTCCAAAAGATTCGATGAAACTTCTCAAATTATTAAAGAAGTAGCTAGACAAAACGACGAGAAACTCGAAAATGTGTCAAAAAGATTCGACGAGAAATTTGAAAATGTTTCTCAAATGATGGAAGAAACTTCGAAAAAGAATAATGAGAAATTTGAAGAAGTTTCCAAAACATTCGAAAAAGTAGAAGAGAAGATCAAACAGTTAGAGAGCATGATAACTAACACAAAAATGCTACCACCAGTTAATACGGTAGCTTTAGATCCGGTAGTAAAAGAAGAATCACCGAGAGACGAAACGACACATCATATGAGATTCAAATTGCCACCGTTTGATGGAAAGTCTCTTGGTCCATATACCTTAGACAATTTGAAGCTATTGCGACAGCCAATCATTGGACAGAACAAAAAAAGGCTGTTTCCTTGACTGCTGCTTTACGAGGTGATGCTGCAGATATCCTAAGATCGATTCCCAAGGGTCAAGAAAAATGTTACCAGACCTTGTTTACTCGACTAGACAAACGTTACGGAGATGCCCATCTACAACAAGTCTACAAGGCGCAACTAAGAAGTAGAGTTCAACGAGCAAGTGAAAATTTGCAAGAGTTTGAAGCAGATGTTGCTCGTATAGTGCGGTTGGCTTATCCGGAGGTACCAGACAACATTTTGGAAGAAATTGCCGTAGATACCTTCGTCAATGGGTTAAAAGAAAGTGAATTACAGAAAGCTTTACGACTAGCAAGACCGAAAGTTCTAGATGAAGCGCTCGCTATTGCCTTAGAACATGAAACAGCTAGTCAAACTTCACGGAGCCATCGAGTAAGAACCATTGAAGAAGGCGACGAACCAAACGATGAACGTCTAGCAGAAATGGTACGAAAAATAGTTCATAACACGATGCCGAAGAGACGCGAGCCCAGATGTTGGAATTGTGGTGACGTAGGTCACATTCGCCGTAATTGCAAGAAAATGATACAACAGTCGGAAAACTAGAACGGGTCGACACTAAGGGGCAACTGCCGACCTCGAGAAACACAGCCCCCATAGTAACTGTGAACATTACGTCCTCCGGTGGAATTCATAGCTTGTACATCGAGGGTCGTATTAACAATAAATGTAGATCGTTTTTGGTAGATACAGGTGCAACAAGAACTATTGCACGGCCAGAAGTAGTACGAGACCATCTTAAATTATCGCCTGCAACAGTAAAGCTTAGAACAGCAACTGGTGAGATAATTAATACATATGGCGAGGCTAATATGTCAGTATCCATTGGCCAGACCACTGTGAAACATAGAGTATTAATTGCAGAGATCTCCGATGAGTTCATATTGGGGATGGATTTACTAAGGAAAGTTGGGCTGTATTGAATGTCAAAGATGGAGTTCTCGAGATCAGTGGTGAAGAGTTGCCGTTTCATGAAGAGAAAGAAGATGTTATCAGCTTAATAACTACTTGCGACGTAACAATACCCGGTAATAGTGAGAAAATTTTGATGACCAGACCTGATGGTTACTGCCGAGAGGGAAGTTTAAGGATGGTCGAAGAGGTGAACAATGCCGAGTTCCTACCGGCAAAAGCTTGGTGAGAATTCGAGATGTCGTTCCTGTAAGAGTTATGAATTTAAAGGGAACTGATATTAAGCTAAGTAAAAGAACTTTGATCGGACAGTGTATTCCCGTGGCTTTGATTTGTTCCATGAGTACTAATGAGAAAACGTCGAAATCTAAGTATCCAAAGGAGCTTGTTGAGACGATAATTAAAACGTGCCAAGATCTTGATGATGAACGAACTAAAAAAGTGAAGTCTATGCTAATAGAATTTCAAGATGTTTTTGCCATTGATAAGAAGGATAATGGCAAAACAAGCATAGTAAAGCACAAAATTAATACCGGAGACGCTCAGCCAATCAGACAACAACCTAGACGACTTCCATTTGCGAAAAGAGATGAAGCCGAAGACATCATCAAAGATATGCGCAAACAAGGGGTAATTGAACCATCAAACAGTCCATGGACATCACCAGTAGTGCTAGTAAAGAAGAAAGATGGTTCAACACGTTTTTGTATTGACTACCGACAGCTCAATTCGGTAACTAAAAAAGATAGTTATCCTTTGCCCAGAATAGACGATACTTTGGATACACTTTCTGGTTCTCGTTGGTTTTCCACACTCGATCTGAAAAGTGGATATTGGCAAGTAGACATGGAGCCAGCTGATCGTGAGAAAACCGCATTCTCGATAGGATCAGGGCTTTGGCAGTTCACAGTTATGCCCTTTGGTTTATGTAATGCTCCGGCCACATTTGAAAGATTAATGGAGGCAGTTGTAAGAGGTCTAACATGGAAAACATGCCTGGTTTATTTGGATGATGTAATTGTCGTTGGAAGATCCTTCGATGAACATGCCAATAATCTGACCGAAGTCTTTCAACGATTGCGGGCAGCGAATTTGAAGTTAAGTCCGAAGAAATGTCACTTGTTTCGACGAGAAGTGAAGTACTTGGGACATATTGTAGCAAGTAATGGAGTAACAGCTGATCCTGAATAACTTGCAGCAATTAAGGATTGGTCAGTACCAAGAGAATAAACACGAAATTAGAAGTTTTCTTGGCCTTTGTACATATTACCGACGTTTTGTCAAAGGATTTGCCAACATCTCCAAGCCATTAACAAAGTTGACAGAAGAAGGCAAAGAATATACATGGAGCGAAGAGTGCCAGAGAGCCTTCGAACACTTACAAATGGCTCTGATCAGCGCACCGATTTTAAGCTACCCTAGACAGGCAGGAAAATTTGTGTTGGACACCGATGCCAGCAACAGTGCAATAGGAGCTGTTCTCTCCCAAATCCAAGATGGGCAGGAGAAAGTCATCGCATACTTTAGCAAAGTCTTGTCGAAACCAGAAAGAAACTATTGCGTTACCAGGAGAGAATTGCTAGGTGTAGTAAAGGCTTGCGAGCATTTCCATAAATACTTGTATGGCAGAAAGTTTCTTCTTCGCACGGATCACGCTGCTCTAAAATGGCTCCTACAATTCCGTAATCCAGAGGGCCAGATGGCAAGATGGTTAGAACGATTACAAGAATATGATTACGAGATCGAACACAGGGCTGGAAGAGTTCATTTAAATGCTGATGCGCTTTCGAGAAGGCCGTGCAGTGAACATTGTAATCACTGTCTTAAATTAGAAGAAAAGACTTTGCCCCGTGAGACGAACCACCATCATTAATGACCAATGGCAGCCACAACAGCTACAAGACGCTCAAGCAGATGATCCATGTATAAATAGAGTATTGGATTGGATGCGTCGAAGTGAACGGCCTTCTTGGCAAGACATTAGTGCATGTAGTCCTGAAGTCAAGTGTTACTGGATCCAATGGAATTGCCTAGTGCTAAAAGATGATCTTCTTTATAGAACCTTTGACAACGATGATGGTACAGAATCTAAGCTTCAGTTGATTGTACCTAAAAGTAAAGTGTCAGAAGTATTGCGTCAGTTACATGACGGTGCATCAGGTGGACACTTTGGTATTACGAAAACTCTGCAAAAGGTTCGAGAACGGTTCTATTGGGTGAACTGTAAAGATGATGTACGAAGATGGTGCCGGAAATGTGAACTGTTTGCAACCAGTAATGGTCCAGTTGGTAAAAAGAGGGCACCCATGAAACAGTACAATGTTGGTAGTCCTATGGAAAGAGTAGCAATCGACATTGCAGGTCCACTTCCAGAGACAAATGATGGAAATAAATATATCCTGGTAGCCATGGATTATTTTACGAAATGGACTGAGGCCTATGCGCTACCAAATCAAGAAGCTGCTACCGTTGCAGAGGTATTGGTTAAAGAATTCTTTAGCCGATTTGGTGTTCCCTTGAAGATCCACTCCGACCAAGGGCGAAACTTCGAGTCAAACCTTTTCCAAAACGTTTGTAAATTGATTGGTGTCAATAAGACCAGAACGACACCATTGCATCCTCAATCAGATGGAATGGTCGAGAGAATGAACCGAACGATGGGTAAACACCTGTCCAAAGTTGTATCAGAACATCAAAGAGATTGGGACCAGCACATTCATTTATTCCTAATGGCCTACCGCTCGGCCGTGAATGAAACTACCGGCCAGACTCCAACCTGCCTGATGTTAGGTCGTGAAGTTCGTTTGCCCTGCGACCTAGAGTTTGGCTGCAGACCTTCCGAAGAACATGTTGCAAGCGAAGATTATGTCGACCGCCTAAAGTTAAGAATGAACAACATTCATGAACTTGCCCGACAACACATCCAGTTAGCCAGTGACAGAATGAAAGATCAATACGATTCTCGATGCAAGAATGAAAGCTATGAAGTAGGTGATCTTGTTTGGCTTTATAATCCCCAACGTCGTCGTGGCTTATCTCCTAAACTGCAAAGACAATGGGAGGGTCCATATGAAATTAAAAAGAGAATAAATGACGTAATATACCGAATTAAGAAGTTGCCGAAAGATAAACCAAAAGTAGTTCAAATAAATCGTCTTGCACCTTATGCTGGCTCAAATGAAACCGAAGAAGTCCGAACCCTTCAACATGAGGTCAAAGATGATCGGCGACCAAGCTTTAATGAGTTTATGTCAAATTACGCAGAGAGAAAGAGTGCTAGATTCGGCGTGACGACAGAAGTTCAGCAGGATCTTTTTAGTGTTCCGCATAACGTCTCTCTAGCCCACTGTGTTGCCCAAGATCTTGAGATGACTAAAGGAATCTCATCCGTATTTTATAAGAACTTTGGTCGCTTGGACGAGTTAAAAAACCAGCAGCCTAAAGTTGGAAGAGTGCTGAGATTAGAAGATGGTTCTCGATCTTTGCTGTATATGGTGACCAGGAAGTCGTATACAGACAGGGCAACCTACGAGGATATATGGTGTGCTCTAACTAATTTGAAGAAAATCGTCTGCAATTACGACATTAAGAACTTGGCTTTACCCAAGATAGGCCATGCACTAGATAATCTGGATTGGAAGATTGTCAGAAGCATGCTTGAAGTGATCTTCCGAGAAACCGGTGTAAGAATTACTGTGTGTTGCATTAATCCGAAGAGATCGTGTCCTTCAAAGACAGTAGACTGTGATTTCTTTCTGAGGGATTCATGCAGAGCTGGAGAGTCCTGTAGATTCCGCCATCCTGGGCCTATAGATAGAGTTCCTGATCGGGACGCTCAGATCTAAGAGGGGAGCAGTGTTACGAACGTGGCTCGCCTAACGGTCGCATCTCGAAGCACCCAGAAGTTTCGGCAACATATCAAAGCGCTGTAAAATTCCACCCGTCAAATAATCAATTAGAGGTGGGACTAGTCCCGAATATTCTCGAATATAATACTTTGGTATATATATGTAACGGAATTAGGAGTTAAGTTTAGTTGATAAGAGAGTACCGAACTGTAAAGTTATAAATAAATATATTTATATAAATTCGAACCGCTCGTTTTATTTAATCACGTTACAATATTATCAACTCGCCTCGCTTTCCGGAATCCATAATCTACGATTTTTTTTAATGATAGTGGTCATCAATACATAATGGCTTAAAGTGTCTTGAACAAGGTAATGATGAAAGACTAAACAATTACTAAATAACCAGAAAAAAATCCAAGTTTAAAAGTCTATTATTAGACAAATTATTGATGTATTAAACGTATGAAGTAAAAAATTGTTTTAAACTTACCTCATTTGCTTTTAAATTCAACTCCGTACTATCTTTAGCTTCATAATCATATAGAGTTTTAGCTCTCATCATGTCTTCTTCTGTGGGTGTGTTATTTTGAGTAGGACTTACGGGAAGACTACTGGATAAACTACACAAAAAAATAAACTAAAACGTGTTTTAACATGCCAAAATAGTAAAGATATCTATATAATTCGATATGTGATCAAAGTCTAATATAACCTTTAAATGTTTTTAATTTCGTTTCATAATCGTTTTATTATGTAGGCCAACGAAACTGAACATATGACATGAAAGACATACTTATAGTATATGTACATTTTTTAAACTTTAAAACAAGTTTTTTTTTTGTTTTATAGTACCAAGTATTAATCTATAAAAATTTCTACATAAGTACCAGAAAACTTGGGGAAATAATACAGAAAATAGGACATAAAACTGGTGATGGAAACCGGAAAAGAAGACAATATTAAATTATAATTAAATAAAATTATATTAAGTACAAAAACTAGATTGGAAAACAATCAAAGCACGACATATAAGTTAGTACCGCCAAATCAAGAACTATACATCTATCTAATCTACAACTCAATAGGAATATAATAATTGAAGTAAATTCTACATAAAAAATTATGAAATAATTGAAATAAATCGCATGAGAAACGAAGAAATATAATTGATTACGATGTTAGTTACATTGATACTGGGAAAATTAAATTAGCTAGGGCACTTGGGCTACTACTTGAAACTACGAATGTTTATATGATTCGTTACGAAAGTAACAGGCTTTTTCGTCACCAATCATCACTCCAGCAAGATCTTTTAAATATACACGCAAATAAATCCATTCCACAAGACTCGGTTCCAGATCCATGACATACAATTAATCCACCACCAGGCCCATTCCACATTCAATGAAACACAAAACCAATTGTGTAATGAAATCTTACATTTCACCAGGTATTAATTAACGAGACCTGTAGCAACATCACCAACTTTCCATGCAGCAGCCCTAAATAAAAAAAACAGCATATTATTCAGGCCGCCAGGCACTTTTTCGTCTTTGTTTGTTCAGTCACTGTTTTTAGGTCGTCAGGTACTCGTCAAGTCAATAGTGGGTTTCTTATATTTTACAGAGTAGCAGGCTGCTTTGTAGTCTATAAATATGTGCAAACAGTTCATCTTGAGTCCCCAGACCTTTTCTACATCCCATTTGCGTATTACTTATGTCTTCGTCTATTTCCTTATAAATTACTTTTAAAAATAATTTCAAGTGTATGTAGCATTTTCATTAAGGCTGTTGCATGTTGCATTTTCACAGCTACAGGAAGCTTAAAAGATTATGGGAGTTGTAATAAGCATCCAGCACACAAAATGGCAGTACCACCAATTCATCACAGACAGATGCAGAGCTTAATTATAGATTAATGTTTTTTTTTTTAAATAATCGATATAAAATATGTCACAAATAGATTCTGAATTATTCTAATTTAATTCATATTTCTATCTAATAAATAAATCACGCTATACGAAAACTAAAAACATTTAAGAATTTAAAAACTTTTGCAAAGGAGAAAATTATTATATATAATACGATATTGACTACATAAAAAACATAGGTAAAAGGAACTAAGACGTTCAAGAAATTTTATTGTATATTATGATCAATTGAACTCTAATGATAAAATCGAAGAATGCCAAATTCAGTTAAGCCAATATTTAAAAGAAAATTATCACTTACTGAGGTAAATAATTTTCTGAGGAAATGATGACTCGTTTTTGGGATGACGGTGGCTTAAAAGGGATTATTTTCAGTGACGACGCACACTTTCACCTTAATGGATACGTCAACAAACACAATGCTCGCTGTCCTGAAAATTCACATGAATTACACCAGAAACAGTTGCATTCAAGAAAGGTGACGGTTTGGTGTGGCATGTTTGTATCGAGGATCATCGGACCCTACTTTTTGAAGATGCTAGGGGATTCACGCTAACTGTCAACAATGCAAGATACACTGCCATGTTGCGGAATTGGCTACGTCCAGAATTAAATAATTTTCCAGGGTATAATCCAGGCTTGGTATAATCATGATTCCAGCAAGACGGTGCTATGCCACACACAGCGAACACTTCAATAAACGCCCTTTCATAAATGTTTCTATTCACACTGATTTCACAAAATGGTGATATTTGTTTTCCCTCAAGATCTCCTGACCTTACCCCTTTAGATTTTTTTCTCTGTGGGTATTTAAAGAACATCGTCTACGCTAACCCACCAGCCACCATCAAAGAGCTGAAGTAAAATATTCGCAACGTTATTAACAACATTTCAGTGAATATGTGTGAGCGCGTCTTTCTCAATTTGCGATCCAGATTTCAAGTGCTACGAGCGAGATGGTCAACATCTAACCGACGTGTTATTGAAGAAAGAAAATCCACATGCTCTATGTGTCTATTTTCGTAATAAATGCTTTTCTAACAGGTTCTGAAACAGAGTTTTATTGATTTAAAAACTAAAATCTACTCTGAGACACCCGCTATAAGTACACCGGAGGTTAACCAAGACATGTTTTAGACGTATTTTTGCACGCTTATCACGAATGCATTGTCAAAATAAGTGTATCTATCGTCGTTTGCGAGTTATACCGTTTTTATTAATTTTTCTCAAATTAGGAAGTAAGTATTTCAATTTTGATAATTGTTGGCATAATAACTTTATTGAATCGCAATCCGTCGTCAGTTTTTTATCTAATACAGTTTTTTTCAATCTAAGACTGCACAGATGTACCGTCCCAAACATTCAATATGCAGTATCTGAATCTTAATAAATACAAATATGGTATCGGAATGACATTTCCTAATGTTTTCCTGTCAAAAACAAAGTGTGATGTCCTGAGCAGGATATCTACGTGGATATCCCGGTGGAATATCCCGGTACATATGTGTCCAAATTCAGTATGTATTTTGAAAAATGGACTAAAAACCGATATGTTGAAGATCTATAACTAAACATTCTAAATATCTCTACAAAGTTTCAGCCAATGTAACTGAAACATTTAAACACTCTCATTGATTATGTGTAGCATTATTTTGCTGGCATGTAAGATAAGAGAGATAATTCTATAGTTGTCGCATTTATGGAAGCTGTCTTTTTTATCATGTATTGTTGTTATTGTAGATTTTGTCCAGTCATCAGGCCATTGCTTGAAATGCCACATTTTATTACAGAGCAAGTGAAGCAAGTTTATTCCGGTTTCTTCTATAGCTTTAAGCATTTCTGCTGTTATCATGTCTGTCTGTCTTTCAAGTCTGGCTTTAAAGTCTCTTGTTATGTAGCGCATTTTTCTAAATAGATCTCTTGGCTGATTGTTTTGATTATGGCTCTCAATTTTTTTGCATATATTGTGATAGTGTTGTTGTTTATCAGCCCTGCATCTTCGTTTTATTTCTTTGTTGAGGTCTCCTAAACTGGCTTTTTCCCTTTTGCCATGTACATCACTTTGACAAAGCTTTTTCCTATTCTCAATATTTTCCTCACGGCAATATTTTCCTTTGGGCGATTAAGTGTTTTTACATAATGTTTAATAGTCTCCCATATTTCTTGTGATATACCTTGCCTTACTAATAGAAGGCATACTTTTTTGCACTTCTTGGAGAAGATGCTCCTTCTGTGTAGTCTTGCCGACTTTTGCGTTACTACTATACTATTACCGAATATTAAGGTGGGTTCTTTATTTGGAATGTTGAGAATTGTTGTTTCCATTTTTCCTATAATTTCTCGATAGTATTTACTAAAACTCTGTAAATTTTACAAACATGTATTATTCAAAAGACTAAAAATCGACACTTTAAACTCCTGCAACTCAGAAAAATGAATTTCTGTGTCTTGACACAATGATAACTTTTGATAAGCATGACCTCCCTGTAAAGTTTCAGCCAATTTAACTAAACCAACTTTTGCATAAGAAAAGTGAACGGGTCCTTTAATGTTCTGCAAATATGTTCTAAACATACATCTTCTTCTTCTGTTGGCATCATAACCCTGGATGGGTCTTTGCCTGTCTGGCTATGTCCTTCCATTCAGATCTCTTTTGTGTCCTTCTCTTCCATTGTCTTATGTTCATTGTTTTCTTTGTTGTTTTTGCATCGTTTTGTCTCTGCACATATCCCAGCCATGACAGTCTTTGACTTTTCACAAATCTTACAATGTCATAACCTTCATTTAACTCATTAACCTCGTCGTTTCTCCTGATTCTCCATGTGCCATCTTCCTCTTGTACCGGGCCATATACTTTCCTCAGTATTTTTCTCTCGAATGTCCTGAGTTGGGCTTCATCTTTTTTCGTCATTACCCAAGTTTCACATCCATAGGTTACTACGGGTCTAATCAGTGTTCTGTAGATAGTCATTTTGGTTCTTTTGTCTAATAATTTCGATGTCATCAATCTTTTATTAGCATAGTATGTACGATTCCCGCTGGAAATACGTGCATTAATTTCGCTACTTACGGAGTTCTCTGATTGATTTCTGTGCCGAGATATGTAAAGGCATCCACTCGTTCGATAGTATAGTTGTCTATTGTGATATTATTTTCATTGTCAGTTATTCTTTTGACTGTCATATACTTCGTTTTTGCTTCGTTTATTTTGAGACCTCTTTTTCTTGCTTCAGGATCAATTTGTTTGAACACTTCCATTAGTCGTGGCTTATTCCTACTAATGATGGCTACATCGTCTGCATATGCAGTAATTTGTACTGATTTGGTGTTTATATGGCCGGTTATATTGGTTTTTCTGATGACTGCCTCAAGAACTAGGTTGAATAGCATGGTTGATAGGGCATCTCCCTGTCTTACTCCCATGTTGATGTTAAACAGGGGAGTCAGTTCTCCATCTACTCTGACTGCGGCTTTTGAACCCTGCAACGTCATTTTTATGAGGCTGATGTATTTCTTAGGTATACCTAGATTACAAAGGTCTTCCAGCATTCTGTCTCTTTTCACACTATCAAAAGCTTGTTTAAAGTCTATATACATATTATATAGGTCTATGTCGTATTCATAAGCTTTTTCTTGTATCGTTCTTAGTATGAATATGTTATCTGTAGTGGCTCTATTTGGTCTGAATCC